AGTAATATTGACATCAATCCTGATCTGTCCACCAATAACCAGACTGCGCTTCAAGCGCTCTTGTTCGAGTTCAGGACTTGCTTCGCAAGTTGCTCAAAGATCCGCCAGACTTCCATCACTCAACACAGGATCATTATGTACGAGGACGCACGCCCAATACACCAGCACCCCTACCGCGTGTCGGCTAAAGAACGTGAAGCGATACGTACGCAGGTCTGCGAGATGCTTGACGATGGCGTTATCGAACCATCCAACAGCCCGTGGTCATCTCCAGTCGTGCTTGTCAAAAAGAAGGACGGGTCGCTACGCTTCTGCGTCGACTACCGAAAGCTTAACAATGTGACCAAAAAGGATGTGTACCCGCTGCCGCATATCGACGATTCGCTGGATAGACTTCTTCGTGCCCATTATTTCACTTCTCTCGATCTCAAAAGCGGGTACTGGCAAATCGAAGTAGATCAGCGAGACCGCGAGAAGACAGCCTTCGTGACTCCATACGGCCTATACCAATTTCGAGTACTGTCTTTCGGCTTGTGTTCAGCGTCGGCAACTTTCCAGCGAATGATGGATACTGTCCTCACAGGGCTCAAGTGGCAGACTTGTCTTGTCTACCTTGATGATGTGGTGGTCTTCTCTGCCACGTTCGAGCAGGACCTTCCCCGCCTGCGCAGCGTGCTGGAGGCTATCCGATCGGCGGACCTCACACTAAAGCCACAGAAGTGCCACTTCGGCTATGACGAACTAAAATTTCTTGGTCATGTAGTTAGCGCCGAAGGAGTCCGGCTTGATCCGGACAAGCTTGCCGCTGTTGCCGAATTACCAGCTCCTGTCGATAAGAAAGCCGTCCGGCGCTTCCTTGGTTTGTGCGCCTACTATCGCCGGTTCATTCATGGCTTTTCACAGATAGCAGAACCTCTGACTCGTCTCACAAGGGACGACACGCCGTTTGTCTGGGAAAACGAGCAACAAGCAGCTTTTGATGAGCTACGACAGCGCATGCAATCAGCGCCCGTTCTCGCTCATTTCGATGATGATGCTGACACGGAGGTCCATACCGACGCTAGTAACATTGGGCTCGGTGCAGTGCTCGTTCAGCGTCAAGAGGACGCCGAAAGAGTCATAGCCTACGCCAGCCGCTCTCTATTCCGTGCCGAGGCGAATTATTCCACTACGGAGAAAGAGTGCCTCGCAGTCGTGTGGGCAATCACAAAGTTTCGCCCGTACCTTTATGATCGTCCCTTCAAGATAGTGACGGACCATAACGCGCTCTGTTGGTTGGCAAGCCTGCGTGGCCCTTCAGGACGGCTAGCACGGTGGAGCTTGCGGCTGCAGGAATTTGACGTCACCATCGTCCATAAGTCCGGCCGTAAGCATGAAGACGCTGCCACACTGTCACGCGCACCCCTTCATGTAGGCAGTCAGGAAGCAGAGGAAGACGAAGGCTTCCTGGGCGCCATTAGCTCATCAGACTTGAGCAAACGGCAGCGAGATGACGCAGAGATTCGTCCGATCATCGATCATATAGAGGGCCAGGGCACAATCATACCACGTCATTTATCCCGCTCGTTGACGTCGTTCTGCCTTCGAGACAGTGTGCTGTACAAGAACGACGCTCGTTCGAACAACAGGGCCTACCTTCTGGTGGTTACTCAAGATATGCGAGACGACGTCCTCTTCGGTGCCATAACGAACCAACATCTGGTCATCTAGGCTACTCACGGACACTTGCCAGAGTGAGCGAGAGGTGCTATTGGCCAGGACTTTCGGCAAGCGTAAAGAAGTACGTCAAGAGCTGTCGGGAATGTTATCACCGAAAGCAACCATCTGTTAAGCCAGCTGGTCTGCTTCAGCCCATTGAAGCACCTTGCACGCCGTTTGACAAAGTCGGCATGGACATTCTCGGGCCACTTCCCCTGTCTTCGGACAGCAACAAATGGGTGATTGTCGCGACCGACTATTTGACACGCTACGCTGAGACGCAGGCGATCCCACGAGCTACGGCTTCTGAGGTAGCACAATTTTTCATGCGCCACATCGTGTTACGACACGGTGCTCCTTCCAGTATAATAACGGACAGAGGAACGGCATTCACGGCGCAGCTTATGGACGAAGTTTTCAAACTGAGCAACACCAGACACCGAAAGACAACTGCGTACCACCCGCCAACCAACGGACTTACCGAGCGACTGAATAAGACCATCGCAAACATGATCTCAATGTACATCGACGTACAGCACAAAACATGGGACCGGATCTTACACTCTAAAAAATATCGAGTAAAAAGGGTGTCTTTTTGTCCCACTACAATAATCGTCATCAGGCTTGCGTGCGCTTCCTTTCTTGAAAACTCGGCGCTGGCCACTTTCCTATCGAGAATGCAATGTAACCCTGATAAAGGGCATGTCGATCATGACCGGAATGTACCGGGCGCGGGGCGATAGCGCAAGTATGGAACGCAATATAGATGACGATTATTGTTGTGGGACAAAAAGACACCCTTTTTTACTCGCTCTTTTTTATAGAGTGTACCTTACGTGACCTTCGCGTATAATACCGCCGAGCAAGAGACCACGCGATTCACGCCATTTTAACTTCTCTACAGCCGCGAAGTGCAGACCGTGCTGGACTCTATGCTACCGTGTCAAGACGAAGATGAGTTGGCAACTGACGCCGAAGAATTCGCAGAGCGTGCTGAGGAAGCCCGGCAGCTCGCGCGACTACACATCGGCCAGCAACAGCATGCAGACGCACGGCGCTATAACACCCACCACACAGAAGTGTTTTACAACCCCGGAGACCAAGTTTGGGTGTGGACGCCCGTCCGCCACCGTGGCCTTAGTAAAAAGTTACTGAGCCGGTACTTTGCCTCATATAAAGTGTTACGCCGCGTCAGTGACGTGAACTACGAAGTGGTTCCGGACTCAACACCGCAGGCACGGAGCAGGACACGACCGAGGCCGGATGTCGTTCATGAGTTGCGCATGAAACCATTCATCGCGCGTTTGTCGTAACTTTTTCTTTGCCGTGCACTGTTCTTTGTGTTATTTATTTATTTTTGTGAGCTTGCTTCTTCGTTCATTGATATTTAATATATTGGTACGCTCTTTAATTTCTACTTTTACTTTATCTGATTTTCCCATTTTTTTCACGTGCCTATGTCGTAACATCGGGGTGGTGCTATGTACTTTTCTTTCCATTTTTTGGGTATTTTTTTTTCGAAAGGGGGATGACACCACCGTCTCGTAGTGGGTCGACAGCAAGAGCGGCTCTCAATCTGAAGGAAAAAGAGGATCGCGTGCACCTTCTCGACTCGAGAGCCAGTCACGACTGACGCATTGTCCTAGAGCTAGTTACTTGGTGGTCTAATACAGCCCCTGTAGTTGTGATTCATCGTGACAATGGGCACCGGGTGGATCCTATGAGTAAACAAATGTACAACCAGAAGCGCCGCTGGCCGTGATGTCGTAATCCTCCAACGGGGCCCGCCACTGCGCGGTGTTGCACCAAAGACCAGGGATGTTGCCACGCATTGCGTAAGACTCGCCAGACTCGAAGGCGCCGATTACTGCGCGTGGTTGCAGCCAATGACCAGTGACGTTCCCGCGCATTGCGTAAGACTCGCCAGACTGGAAGGCGCCGATTGCTTCAACGGGCTCGCGGGCTGAGGGAGCCCGCAGTGCGTTGCGTGACAGACCGGCGCCGCCACTTGATGACGTCGTTGAGTTGTTCGCGTCAGGCGGGCTCGATTGCTGGCCTTGACACAGATTGCCTTTTGCAGAGGCATTGATGTTCGGTGTGGACTCGCAGGGGTAACAGCACCCCCACCGCCAGACAATGCGCCGGAAAGACGAGCTGCTTCCACGTTGCTCGGATGTCGGGCGCGCTCGTTCGCCAAATCCCTCCAGGTTCGCCTCCAGGGCCATGGGGAGAATGCAGCTCGAGACTCCGTTCCGTGAACACATCCCATTTCTGAGGACAGATTCCAGCTCCATTGGCTTGTCGCCACAACTTGCCGGCCAGCTTCGTTCGTCTCTTTTGACGATTTTTGGTATCAGCACTTGTCGATGGTTCTGCAACTTGTCAAGAACGGTTCGACAACACACACGACACAAGCAAGTGCCCTCGGTCACCCGACAGAACACTAGGCAGTGCACTAGCTTTTGAAAAAGGAGAATGGCAAGTGTCCAGTAAAACTTAAAAGCGTGCATAAAAAAAAGCACAACATATCCACGAAGTGAATGATGAACGAAGCTTCGGCGGTACATCGGTAAACCGTCCGTCCGCTTTTTTGTTTGTCTATCTGCCTGTCCGTCTAACAGACACACTCGAGCACGCGTCTCCAACGCAGCGAGCGCCATCTAGTTAGCTATTACAGTACTAGCGTACCCCCGCGCCGTCTAGTGAACAATCCGAAAACTAGAGGAGGTGTCTCCTAGAAGGCTGGACAAGCCTACGCCCTAAGAAGCTTCGCCCCTAAAACTTCGCCTTAGGGTTTAAAGAGCTTCCCAATGCAATAGATAGTTGCAAAATATGAACCTCTAAATGTTCTTTTCAGCAAACATGCACTCACAAAATCGACTGCCCGGTATGGCTTATATTGTAACAGTAAAATTAGACAAGGAAAAAGTCGGTTGCCTTTTGAATAATATTTGATGGGGCTTAACGTTTCAAAACCACGACACCACCGTGGTGGCTGCCAAGAAAAGCTTGGTTACTTAATTGATAACCTTTTCTTGGTAGGGAACATCCAATTTTTTAAACAGGGTGGACTCCCAGCCTTGTCTACTGACATTAAAGTTGAAGTCTCAGCCTTTTTTATCAAGTGATATATTCTGTCACGAACCAAAGCCAATGCACATGTACGTATACGCTTGTATACACGCGCACACTGTGGTCTCGCGAGTGGGCTAGTTGGTTCTGAAGCAATGTAACAGAAAACAGCGCATAAAGAAAGGCACGATGCGTGTCCGTCCTTCTTGCGCTGTTTTCCGTTACAGTACATGGAAGTCGCTCTTGTGACCAGTGAACCCAACCGCAGCCACGAGTCCCCGTGGAAGACGTTCCTGTGCGCGACCAGCGCCTTCGTCGCCTTCACCATCGCCACCGCCGTCATACTGTTCTACTTCAGGAAGTCGCCAGGTGCGTGTACATATAGTGCAGTTTGTTTCGCCTCTGCCGCTATTTGTGCTACACAAACAGGAGAACAAACTGAAGCAAGCTGTGTGACCGGGCTGGTTTTTTGATATTCCACATTTACCTAAACAGTGGGGAAGGACGCAAAAGGATTAACGAGGTTGTTCTCGTCGAGTCTCTATTTATTTATTTCAACATACTGCAGCCTCGCAGGAGCGGAGGCAGAAACCGAAAATTGCAATAGAACACAAAATTTACAGAGCATCAAGATCAATGGTTGGTTAACAGTGCAAAAAATCAATTCACCAAGCGGAGAAGATAACATGGCCGAATAAAGCATACCATATTTCAATAGCATGGACAAGAAAAATGTTATTTGTGTAAAATAGTATGACAGAATCAGCACGCGTTACGTTTGTACTGCAGTTATGTTCTGGGGACTTTGGTGAAATCTACTACAAAAAATATATTAGGACACGCGGAAACCATTCTTTGGTAATGCTATTAATATGCTGTTGGTGTTTTTAAGATAACCAGCTCCGGTAGCACGGCCAGGTTATTTCACCTTAGACACCTTACGAATCCCCTTATGCTTCCTGCTTAGAAAATGCGAAGCATCTGATAACGCAGTTTGTAAAAAAAAAAAAAAGGCAGGTCCCACAATCAGTGAGAATCGATGATATGAAAAGCACGAATTAGGACGGTTCAAATGTCACTTTCAAATCAGCACAACGTTACGAGGCTGGCGTAAATTATGCCGTACATGACTTCCATGTCATGATTATCATGTTTGCGCCTGGAAATTGTGCTCAGTCGTCCATTCACGTTACGGAATACCAAATTTGGTATGTGTGAAGCTACCGAAAAGGCCACGAGCACGTTATGAGCATAGCATCTAGTCATGTTTTACGTGACGCATGTCATGATTATCACGCTTGGACGTGTCATTTATCTTCGCCGTTCGTTCGCGAAATACCAAATTTTGTATAAGTAGAGCTAGCGAAACGACCGCAAGCGCATCATGAGCATTACATGTCATGTTCCTACATGACACGTATGTCATGATTACAATGTTTTCACCATGCAGTGACATGCTTTCGTCATCCATTCGCGTCACGTAATAGCGAATTCAGTATTTGTGAAGATATAGCCAAACGGTCGCGAGCGCATCATGAACGTGGTATGTAGTCATGTTCTTATACATAACACGTATATCATGATTATTATGTTTGCACCAGTCATATATCTTCGTCATCCACTCACGTCACGTAACGCCAAACTTGTTATATGTGAAGCTAGCGATATAGTCACGAGCACACTGTGAGCGGAGCTTGTAGTCATGTTTTACAGGACACGCATGTCATGATTATCACGTTTGGAAATGTCGTTTACCTTCGTCGTCCGTTCGCTCTATTTAATACCAAATTTTGATATATGTGCAGCTGGTGAAACGACCGCAAGCGCATCATGAGCATGGCGTGATTATAATGTTTGCACCAGTCACATACCTTCATCTTCTTTCACGTCAAGTAATACCAAATTTGGTATATGTGAGGCCAGCGAAACGACCGCGAGCGCATCACAGGCGTGGCATGTAGTCATGTTCTTACATGACACGCATTTCTTGATTATCATGTTTGAACCAATCATATACCTTTGACATTCGTTTACGTCACCTAATAACAAATTTGATATATATGAAGCTAACGAAACAGCCACGAGCACATCATAAGCGTGGCATGTAGTCATGTTCTTACATAGCACGCATACCATGGTTATAATGTTTCCAAGTCATATACCATCATCATGCGTTCACGTTACGTAATGCCAAATATGATATACGTAACGCTAGCGAAACGATTGCAAACGCATCATGAGCGTGGCATGTAGTCATGTTCTTACGTGACATGCATGTCATAATTTCCACGTGCGGGTCTGTCATTTAAATTCGCAACCATGTCATACAATACCAGTTTTGCGATATGTCATGTGAAAGAAACCACCACAGGAGTAGCAAGACCCTGCATGACATCTAAATCATGACATTCATGTCATGATTTTCATGTTATGACGAGTCACTTATGCTCGTCGTACAGTCATGTTATGCCATACCAATTTCGGTATAGATCCAATTATGCAAACGACAAGGAGAGCTAAATGTTGTAGGCGGATAGATAGATAGATAGATAGATAGATAGATAGATAGATAGATAGATAGATAGATAGATAGATAGATAGATAGATAGATAGATAGATAGATAGATAGATAGATAGATAGATAGATAGATAGATAGATAGATAGATAGATAGATAGATAGATAGATAGATAGATAGATAGATAGATAGATAGATAGATAGATAGATAGATACGCTCCAAGTTGGCAAAGTTCACTAAGAAATGCTTCGCATTTAAATAAAGCCATTCAGAATCACCTGTAGAAGCAGCACTTCAATGCGCCGAGACTGCGTGTCGATAACGCTTTGGTGTCACTGCGTTTTTTATTGTAGTTTTGCTTTGTTAGTGTTTGTATATAATTGTATTGTACATCCATTTCAGAGCTGAAGATTACAAACACATTTACAATAGCAAGCTTCAAGTATCCACTTGAATTGTGTAATTTCCAAGTGACACAAACAGGTTAAAGTTATTGTATAGCCACTACTATCGCATTATGAAAAACACAGCAGCAGCAAAATTGCGACTAGGGAGCTTTTTTTTTCATTTATCATAAACATTTAGCTTTGATTTCCTCTGCAACAAAGATGAGTGAGTACGGTAGCATGCTTATTTTTTTAATAAGCAGCTTTCACCTGTATCTGATGATTGTGTCGATAAAGCTAACCTTTGTAGTTTTAGGGGGAATTGATTTTAATGTCCAGGGCGCAAATCAACTAAGAAAGTGAAAGCTGTTCATGCATGCCTTCTGCGAAAACTATTTGCGATGTGATAGAGCACTTTCGGTAACGTTCAAACAAGCCGGTGATGCATTTTATCCTTCTTTTTTCTCGCCCATTATAGCGGTACGCTCTCTCGTAAAATTTGGCACAACCGCACCAGGTAAGATATAAGTACAGATCTTGCACGCACGACAGTGGTATAAGGCATTTTGTTTGCACCACATACAGTAGAAACTCGTTGACGGGTTAAGGCTTGTTCACACTAGAGCGACACAATACCGATTTGGCCTGTCGACTGTCTTCGGAGCGTCTTTTGTCATCCTATTAGCAATGCAACAATGCCAACACATGTGCAAGACTCCGTGCACGCTTTGTCGGGCTCACAGCCTTTCGTCAGGACCTACACGCGGCGACACCGACTGAACTTGCACGAATAAATTGAAACAGCCCCCCCCCCCCCCCCCCAGCTTCCCTGGCACTCGCTCGATGGATTCTGTGCCAACCGGTTGTGCCCTCGCGATCTCCGACGACAGTGCAGCTCTGGCTGACTGGGCTGGTCCTATGCCACCTCCTGACGCCAGTCCCCGACGACGACGACAGCGCAGCTCTGGACGACTGGGCTGGCCCTACGCCGTCTCCTGACGCCGACAAGAGCTCTCGCCGAGTGGTGCCCCGTCCTCGTACTCCTGCAACCGTCCTATCTCATCTTCACTTCCATCGTTTCCTGCCGTTCGCTGTTCCTGTGCCTCGCTCTCTTCTTCCCATCTTTATCTCTTTACCTTTTATTCTTATCCTTTTAATCCCTCATTTACCCCCCCCCCCCCCTTGTGAGCTACTGTTGTGGTGTCCTCCCCCTGAGAAACAGTTATGAGGCTCACGTTTCTCTTTATTTAAGATAACTCACTCACACATACTCAATACCACTATTCGCACATATCCTTTGGCAAGACCTTACGGACAGGCAAAATTACCTGATTGGACAAAGTTTGGAAAACGGCACACTGATTCTATCCCCCTGAAGGTGCAAGAGTACCATGCTTGGTCCGAGCAACAGCTTTCCACCTTTCGCTCCACGCATACACACATTAAACTCCCTCCCGGAGGCGGCTCCGGTGGTGGATAATCACTTCCTTCACCCCTAGACGGCCCGGCACAGCCTCAATACAATAACACAATAGAAGGATCAAAATTCGCATCACCAAGCTCCCCCAGCGAGCGGCAGAGTAAGCGACCCAGCTCGCTGGTGCAACACGGCTGCTCGACAAATGTCCAGCCGGAGTACCTGGCGATTTTTCAGCGCCTTGATCGATTCGACCCAAACTCGAACAGGGACACAAAAGCATCTCCGATGAGCGTTTCACAGCTTCGAGTGAGACACGGCAAAATTGGCATGTTTACTTAGAGACCAATACCTATGCACACAGCAGGAGCTCGCCTACTCGTATGCAGGTACCAAAAACGCAGAGCTGGATCGACTGTTCCAGCTACACGACCTGAAGGCGGCCGTAGCAAAATTGAGGCGAGGAACTACACCGAGAAGGGATAAAATCACAGTTAAATTACTTCCTAACCTTCCTGACGCTGCCTACACCATGCTCCTTGCATACATAAACTCCATCTGGATCGCAGAAAGACCCCTTCCAATTGAGTGGAAGACCACCCTGCATTGTCACCTATACCCACATCGGGCAAAGCCATTAGCACGGACCACCTCCGCGCCATCTCCCTTACTTCTTGTGTGGGAAAATTAAAATTAATGGAGACGATGGTGCGCGACAGGTTGTCCGAGTTTCTGAAAGTCAAAAATGCACTTGCAGACACCGTGTTCGGGTTCTGCCCACACCGGTCCGCGCAGGATGTCTTGGTTCAGCTCGATCGTGAGATCCTAAATCCAGGCGAGCATCTCCAAAATGACAAAGTTGTGCTCGCTTTGGATCTGAAGGGGGCCTTCGATAATGTGACCCACGATCTCTCACAGGTGGATTGCGGACAAAACACTTTCAACTATATTAAGCAATTTCTAAACGACCGACAATTATACATTCGGATTCAAAACATTGAACAAGGCCCTTGCAGATTAAGCACGAAAGGAACCCCGCAGGGAGCGG